TTTTCCACGCTCAGAAAACCTTTCTCTACCAGCGTGAATTGAACATACAAAGATGCATTCATTAGTAGTGATCTAATAGATCAAAAAGGCAGTGAAAATATAGCTAGAGAGAACTATCTTGAAGGATTTCAAATTTTTACTCGTTCTACTGCGGATATCGGAATAAGTACAACCTTCATAAGGAAAAAAAAAAAAAAAAAAGGAAGAAGAAAAAACAACAACAAATGATTTGATCTAATCGTCGGTTACCTTGAATTTAATTTGTAAAAAATCCCGACCGGGCGCAGCCAGGTCGGCACCACCAAGGCGGGACAGTAACGGCATACCACTTATTTAAAAAACAGGTATTAATATAAATAAATAAAAATATGTTCTTAAAAAACTCTGCCATATAAATATAGATTAAAAATATAAAAATGCATTTATTTTTGATGATATAATAGAATAAAATGTAAAGTAAATATAGCTAAAAACTATCCCAAATAATTCGAATTTGCTTGTTTATTGCGAATATCTTAACAATTACCACTTTAATTCAAAGAAACGACATATAGATCGAAAACAAAGGATTCAATTTATTATATTACTTAAAGTGATAATTATTAAATAGAAGTTGATAATGATGCACGTATTCTTTTGATAGGTTTGAATAAAAGTCCCATTTTCGTGTTCCTCGCTTATTCTAGTATCTACGCGGCAATTCTGATATATACTCATTACTAAAATCGAAAAAAAAAAAANAAAAAAAAAGAATACTATTTTTACTACTTTAACTTATCATAATAAGGGGCTACGATTCTTTACCTGTACGAGGTGCCCCTTACGAATCTTCAGCTCTTTTTCTTTCTTTCTCTTGCGGTAAAAAGAAAGATAAAAAGTCTAAAGAGCCGAAATTGAATCATCGATATACGACGTCTTTTCGAAAAGATCTTTTTTTACCGGCGATTCCGAACCTCCTTCTTCTTTCTTTTTTTATCAGTCATCTGGTGTCTTCGCGGAAATGCTTCCCCATCATCGCAATGGGCGTTCCTGAACGTCCAAGGGGTGATGGAGACTCGAGACGTGCGAATACGATGGTCCTCAGGGCACATGGGTATCAAAGGGAACGAACGGGCGGACAAGCTTGCAGACCTAGGGGCAAGGAAACCGGACTAGGACACTGGTCTAGCATCGCAACCTACGATCAGCGGCATCCGCACACTCTTCCGCGATATACGAGATAAAGCACGAGAAGCTTGGTGGAGCGCAAGCTTTCTTAAGCTCTCACGCTCGTATCGGAAATGGGGCCTTCTATACCTAGTCAAGCCCCTCTCGGAGCTAGAACTCCTACGACATGTCTTACACAGACTACTTGCGATCCGAACTACGCACGGAGACTTTACTTGGTATCATACCAGGTTCTAGCACTACGACGCTAACTTAAGGTGTGCTTGCGGCAAACGCAAGTCCCCTTTGCACATAGCCTTCTGCCGATTCACGTAACGACGCTTCTTTTCTTGGCCTCACAAGACCCGACCGCGGACCCTTCCGAGCACGATCTTAGAAGCTTACGACTTCCTTAAGGGTCTCCTTAACAATCCGGCCGATTTTCAGGCCTTCTTAACCACTACGGAGTTCTACTTTAAGCATTGCACCCGATAAGGGTGCTACTCTAGCTAACTGATACTGCTTCGGTAAAGAGAACGGGGTACGCTCCGCCTTACTTAAGCTGTAAAGGCTCGTCAGATCAACCGCGTCACGGGACTAAGACTTTGGGATAGCGTAGTGCGCTCCCGAGGGAATTCTCTCTAGCACTAGTGTATTATATTAGGTTTTCTTTTAAAGTTTGGGCTTTCGTATTCACTTTTTCTTTTGTATTCGGCTGACCCCGGTCCGGCCTTGATTCCTGTCGCTACGCGACGTGAACAGCTCGCCTTTAGCTGGCTATAGCAGTTTGTATATGCTTGACTCTCTCTTTTGTGGTTTTCCCTTGATGAAAGGTTTCTTTCTATGTGATCCATCCTATTTGTAAAGGAAAGGCGCATGCGATAGTAGCTTTCGCTACAACACTTTGAATTGCTTTCTGAGGCCTTCTTGTATGTAACCCTTTAGCTTAGCACGTCGCCGTACCCTATAGGAGGTCTCAGGGCGGCAAGCTTCGCCTGCTACCCGCCCGACGTAAATAAATACAACAACAACAACAAAAAATTCTTCTTTCTTTTCGAATATTACGCCGATTACGATTTATACTTAATAAGCATACCGATTGAAAAGATTAAAAAGATTTGCGATAGAAAAGGAACGTATATAAAAGATAAGATAAGAAAGGCTTAATTCGATTGATCGAAAACATAATGTTGCGCTTTCGAAAGAGCGTTTTGCAAACACATCGGCTTTATTTAAAAGCTACGAACGCGAGCCTTTTTAGCCTTACGACGAAAGAGAACGATATTTGTATTATACGGATCGAAGCCGCTCGTAAAGCTATACGTATTCGATAATTGTCGAAAGAAAACTTAACGCATAGCATTATAAATTGCTTTTAAAAGGTTTATAAGTGTTCAGCTATTTAACGAAAGGTTTTCTTTAACGTGGTTTTTACTCTCGATTAAATAATACTTTATATATAATTCTTTTATTTAGTACGTCGCTATACTTTATAAAAGGTCCTTAAGGTCTAAGCATTGCGTTTTAAATACCCGCCCGACGTTAATAAATATAACAATAATAACAACAACAACAACTCAACATAATAAAAGAATATTAACTTGTAATCAAAATTCGATTAATTGATTAATATTAAACTCCATATAGTGCATCTTTCTATACAAAAATAATTACGATATGATTATTAGTTGATTTTTTATTTATTATAAAGAAGCAGATTTTACTGTCCCGCCTTGGTGGTGCCGACTTGCTACAGCAAGTCGGTCAATTCTTTCGAATTGAAATTTAAGGAAACCGACGATTATAATATTGCGGAAGGGATCAATGCCCAAATGAAAAGTCGGTAGCGATGCAATGCAATGCGATGCACGCATTCGTCTGATACGTACCGTAAGCGCGCGAAAGAATAAAGTCCGATTTCTCGCATCCACGCGCTGATTCTATTCTATCCTATCCTATCTACAGGTACTTAGGTATCTATCTATCTAGGTAGGTATCTAGGTATCTAGGTATCTATTTCCACGGCAATGCTGATAATATATACCTACCGACCTACCGACCTACCGACCAACCTACCGACCTACCTACTTCCTTACTTACTTACTTACTTACTTACTTACCGACCTACGCATCAAGAAAAGCGCAAAAGCACCGGTCCATATCCAAAGCCCTCACTCACTCACCCACCCACCCGCCTACTCACCATTTCTTCTACCGGTACTCCTCTCTTACTTACTTACCTTACTCAACCCAGCCCAGCCCAGCCCAACTAACATAACCAACCAACACAATATAACCAACACAACCAACACAACCAACATAACCAATACAACCAACACAACCAACACAACTAACACAACCAATACAACCAACACAATCAACCAAACCAACCAAACTAACCAATAAATAACAATAAAAATCCAATCCACTAATCTATTAATCTACTAATCCATCTATCCATCCACTAATCCACATCGACCTCTATACCATGCTATCTTTCCGCACTGAAATACCTACGAATATAATAAACAAACAAATAAACACCCAAACAAACAAATAAGTAAATAGCCATTCAATGAAATAAATAAATACTTGATTTCCTATTCCTTACAGGTAAGTACCTTAAAGGCAGGTAGGAGGTCATTTGAGCGGTCCTCTGACCCTCTTTTATAAAAGACGGTTATTAGACCGCTTATATTCAGTACTAAGCTCTTTTCAATAATAGTTTGCCGAGAAGACCGTCCTATTGAAAGAGACCGTTTTGTAGCCGTCTTATAGCCGTCCCCGTTTATATTTTCAAAACAGGCTTATTAATAAGCTCATTTTAAAAATTGAAATAGTTCGATGACCATTTGAAAGTAGATATAGTTATAAATAACAATCGTTTTTTAAATAAAATCGTTTTAATAATAATTTAATAAGTTCGATGCTAAGATTCTTCTCGGTATCGCTGCTACGGCTTATATATCAACGTTTTAAATTTTTTATAATCGGTATCGATCGATTCAGCCAAAGTTTGCACGCGTGATTTATGCGTGCAATGTGCGCCTTACGCCTATGGAAGAGGGTGATGTAGTAAGAGGTACCTTAGACTAGTAGGTAATACAATAAGAAAAATAAATAGATTATTTGCTTACTAACTTACGCTTTCCGGGACGGTTTTAAGCTCAAGGACGGCTATAGGACGGCTATAGGACGGTCTTAAAACGCCCGAGAACGGTCCTAAATCGGTTTTTATATAAAAAGACTAGTATTTAAAAAAGACAATTTAATTGTATTAAATAGTTTTATTTTAGCTACGATTTAACAAATTTAAATCGTTTGTTTTCAGATTCTATTTAATTTTAAGTATCGGCTTAAGGTGATCCATTAGCTATGCTAACTTATTAAAATCGTCCTTAAAAGAGATGGTTATCGGATGATCAGCTGACCGTTTAAATGTTCTTGCATTCCCCTTTAAGGTAGTAAAGGGTAGACTGCTAAGTAATTGAAAAAAAAAAATTTATTTGCTTATTAATCAACGTTTTCCAAGACGATTTCAAGTTCGAGGACGGCCTTAGGACGGCCACAGAACGGCTATAGGACGATTTTAAAACGGTCTTTTTATAAAAAGATCGACTTTTATAAACGACTATTTAATCGATTAAAGTAATTTTATTTTAATAATAATCTTTTAATAAAAAGACGAGCTCTAATAAAAAACGATTTAATCGATTAAAATAGCTTCATTTTAGCTACGATTTAAGTCATTTAAATCGTTTATTTTCAGATTCTATTCGATTTTAAGTATCAGCTTAGGGTGATCCACTAGCTATGCCAACCTCTTGGAATCGTTTCTTAGAGAGACTGTTATCGGATTGTCAGCTGACGGTTTAAATGACCCCTTACCTGCCTTTAAGGTAACCAACACAACCAACCAACAACCTATAATAATAAAAATCCAATCCACCAATCCACCAATCCACCAATCCACCAATCCACCAATCCACTAATCCACCAATCCACCAATCCACTAATCCATCCATCAATCCATCTACTAATCCATCCATCAATCCATCCATCCACTTACTAATTCACATCGATCTCTATACGATGCATCTTTTTATACCGAAATAAACAAACACCCAAACAAACACCCAAACAAACAAACAAACAAACAAACAGCCATTCAATGAAATAAAATAAGTACTTGATTTCCTATTCCTTACAGGTAAGTAGGTAAGTAGGTAAGTAGGTAAGTAGGTAGGTACTTACTCACTCACTTACTCACTTACTTCTTTACCTCTTTACTCACCCACCTACCTACTCACCCACCTACCTACTCACTCACCTACTTACTCACTCACTCACTCATTCAAACAAACAATCAAACAATCAAACAAATAAATCAAATAAATCAAATCAATCAAATCAATCAAATCAATCAATCAATCAAACAAATCAATCCATCAATCAATCAATCAAAGAGCAAAATAGCTTTTTCTCCCAGTCCCAGTCCCGCCGCCAGCCAGCCAGCTCGGGATCTATCTGTCTATCTGTCTGTCTGTCTGTCTGTCTGTCTGTCTATCTGTCTATCTGTCTGTCTATCTGTCTGTCTATCTGTCTGTCTATCTGTCTGTCTATCTGTCTGTTAATTGATTAATTGATAGGTTTGGTTTGGTTTATCTCTGGTCAATCTTTAGCTGCGACGTAAGGTAAACAAGGTAAGGTAAGTAAATAAGTAAATAAATAAATAAATAAACGAATGACGAATAAGTGTTCTTACCTAGTAGGCTTTTTGTTTTAGACCCTGACCGATCGATCGATACACACATCCACACACACACATCCTCTCCACACACACACACACACACACATCCACACATCCACACCCTCAGCGGCGCAAGTCAGGCTGCAATAATTATATATATATATATACATACATTATTTTATTTTATATTATTTTTTTATTATTTTTTTTTTAATTGCCTCCTAGACTAGACTAAGGTAGAAAGTAGCAGCCTCAGCCCGTAAAAGGGGTACGCACCGGCAGTAAAGAAACTCTTCTCTCGAGAGCGCTGTCGGTGACGTGCCAAGAAGCCAAGAAGCCAAGAAAGAAGGAACGCAATTCGAACTCGAATTTAGGATTAGGGAATTAGGGCGTCGCTGAGCAGATCCAGATCTCTTTCTTTCTTTCTTTCCCTCCCTAGAGTATCTAAATCCTTCCAAACCGCCCAATCCCAGCGAAAGCAAGTATCTACGTGCGAAATTCTGCCGGTGGGAGATAAGAGGTACAGGAATGAAGGCAAGCTGTATTCGAGAGACGGGAAGGACATTTTTAGGGGGGAGCTAGGTGGCTGGGTAGCTAGCTAGCATGTATGTATGTAGGTATATATATATATATGTAGGTATATATATAGGTATGGATGCACGCACGCACGCACGCACGCACGCACGCTGGAGCCTAGCAGGCAGACGCGGGAAGAAGAGACGTGAGCGTTTTGGGGGAGGGAGAGCGGCTGCTGCTGCTGCTGCTGCTCTTGCAGTTGGTATGTTTGTGTGCGGCGGTGGGATCTCGGATCTCAGAGGGGGGGTGATTGAGGGCTTGCAGATGCTTCGGACGGTTGGTTCACGTGGGCTTAGGTAGGGAAGAGGGGGGAGGGAGAGTTATTAGGATAGATAGAGAGACAGGTAGGTAGGCAAGTGCGGGATATCACTTTTTACTACTCCGTTTGATTTCGTGTTGAGGCTCGCTTAGTAGATGGGTAACCGTCGACGGCCGTCCTGCGGGAGCACTCTTCGTTACGATGCATACCGCATACCATCATCTTTGAAGCTTATATCATCATCATCATCATCATCATCATCATCATCATCATCATCATCATCAAGCTTTCGCTTTATTTTCCCGCGCCTCGTGAAGTGCCTAGCGTCATTATGAAAATCAGTCCCTGCTTCACTCGCCGTTTCCGCTGAACTGCCTCGGAGGGCAGAGGAGGGAGGAGGCTAGAAAATAAGAACATACCGCCATCAACTTTTTCCGCGCCCCAATCGAGCAGATCCCGCGCTCGATCAGGTCCTCCTCCTGGTCGTGCAGCTCCAACAAGCGAGACGGGCTCAGCCCTTCCAAGCACGCCGTGTACTTGTGCAGCCGCAGCGCGTGCAGCCACTTGCGCAGCCAGCGCGGATCCACCTCGTCGTCTCGCGGGTACGGAAGAGATTTCCGAGGGCGCGCCGGCGGGGTTCCTTCGGCCGCGCGGAGCGGGATGGCGGTGAGGTTGATGAGGGTGAGCTGGGCTGCGAGCTGGGCCTGCACGTCGTCGTCCTCGCGGGCTGGCCTTGGGTCGGGGAAGCGGTGGTTCCGGGACGAGGGGTGGCGCGGCGAAGGGGACCCGAGATAGTGCGGCGAAGAAGCGGCGGGTGATGGTGAAGAAAATGTCTCGGATGACCCGCGCGATGTCTGGGGTGGGGGGGAAGATGCAGATCCCGTCGAACGTGACCGCTGGTAATGGATCGGGCTCCGCGAGTGGAAGTATGCGATCTTGTTGCTGTTGCTGCTGCTGCTGCTGGGCGCTGTCGAGGTGGTGTTGATACTGCTCACGCTGCTGCTGCTCGGCGAAGTCGATCCGGGCGAGGAGCTGAGAAAAGCCGGAAAATCTACCAGGCGTGTCAGTGTTCTTCTCTTCCTCCCCCAGCACCCGGATGATAGGGATGATTAATGTACCTTTGGTGCAGAGCCGAGCGTCGGGGATGGGAATGTATCGGGTGGTAAGTTCGGCCTCTCGCTCCCGCAGCACCTGCATCAGGACGCGCACCTGCTCCAGCGTCGCGTCTCGCATCATCTGCAGCGTCGCGGTCATGCGCTGACTCTCGTCCAGCATCGATGTCCATCTCTGCAGCTCGCGCAGCTCCAGCGCCAGCTCGGACGCTTCTGACGAGTGGTCCATTCCGGGTATCTGTGCTGCCTGTTGGGTAGTTTTTTTTGTTTGTTTTGTTGTTTTTTTTTTTATTTTTTTTTTTTTTAGTTTTTAGTT